CCCCCCCCCCCCCCCCGCTGCCTGCTTCGGCTGACCTTTAAACTCTTCTGCTCATCTTCTGGAAACTTCATTCCGTCATAAATAAACTCCTATGAGGCTCCCACATTTTCACAGAATACCCTAGTTTCTTTTGATAAATTTATATAGCTGAGATTTGATTTCATGTCTCTCTGATTCTGATATCCATACTCTTTCCATGGCTATTAATTTATTTTTAAATACATTTTTAAAAAGGTAGAGAAAAAACCCTATTTATTATATATTTTATTAGGCTTTTTTTGATGGTTTTTAAAAGAACAGAGACAAATCCTTTTTCTAGTGAAAGTAACACATATTTCTTCAGCCTCTTACATATGTTAACTCTGAAGCTAGTTGGTGTGTAGTAAGTACTAGAATCGATAGTTGAGATTGCCTCTCATTGGTAAACCTTCAACTTTACAGTGGATATCTACTTTACTGATAGGATGTTAACTCTATCCACCAAAAGGAGTTTGAACAACTATACTCTGCTCAAGTCTTTCACCTGTAACCTGGGGATTAATCCCTTTGGATTGAGCACTTCAGATTTGGGCTTTAATAAATGAATGTCATTAAAGTCTAGTGTACTAGAGTAAGTTCTGTAAAGCTTGTATCTAACAGTACTATTAAGAGTGTGCTGTTTTACTATATTCATAATAATCATACAATGATAAAGTTCAGCAGTTGGTTGAATCTCTACTGAGTGCTAGAGTAGAAAATGCAGTAAGTCACAGTCCTTGCCCTTAACAGCGGTCACAGTCTTGCTAGATTGTAGACAAATCAATAAAATAACATCTGAATGTTATAAAAAGACACGCTCAAAGAAAGGCACATAATCCAGTTGGTGGTGCCGGGGTTGGAGGTGGGGGCAGGACTGTTGGGAATAAGTAACGTTCGTCTGGTAGGGCTTAGCTATCCAGAGAGATTTTCACCTGCTCTTTGTTTCACTACAAGCTTATTAAGTAACAAATGTTTTTATACTCATTTTAATAGATGGGAATCATGCTAAAAGAAGTTAACTTAGATCACTAAATGTTAGAATCAAGATTCCTTTATGACTTAGGTCCTCTGAGTTCTTAGGTTCATAATACTTTTTTTAAAAGTATCTTACAGTTCTTACATTTAGTAATACTAACTGATATCTGGGCAAATCAGGAACTGGCTGTGATATTAATGGAAAACAAGGGAGAGAGAACTCATGCAGTTTATGTGAGTGACACACCCGGGACTATGCTGTTTATTGTGTAGTGACACTGGAAATGTGAAAATACTAGTAAGTGAGACGTGTGATAGTGCCTCTTACTAAATATATTTGTGTCATTCTTTGTACTCATTGCTGGCTGAAAAATACTTAAACAGCTGCTCTTTTCTCATTTGTCCGTCAGCAGTCAGGTGGCCTTGGGTCAGCCAGTTAGGGTGGGCTTTGCCTCTTTTTATGGCTGCTCTAGGAAATGAAAGGACAACCCAATTAGTTTAAATTAGATTATATGGTAATAAATAGTCAGTTTATAATTTAAATAAAATATTGCCTGAAGAGACACTAGTGTTACTGTTGCCCTATATAAACTTAAACTCTTCTACCAAATTGTGAATTCAGCTCATCTGGGCCTTTCTTCATATAATTCACTACCTTATTAGTTTTCACAATATGCTTTGTGTGATTATTTTCCCTATAAAATCTAATGATTAAAGATAGTTGTATGGAAGTGCCTGTTCTGATTTACTTTTATCCAGTTTTGAGTTGATTAAATACTTTGACTTTCATTGTCAATATGAAAATCCATCTGGCTAGAAATCTGTGACTATTAAGTTTTGCTCATGTCTGGAATATAGTAAAGTTGCTAACGTGATTTTCATTTCAGACATTTCCCATATGTTGTGTTTATATATTTACATCTCATTTTTCTCTGAAGAAGTTTATTACTTACTTCTTTGTACTTCTATAGACGTAGTAGACATAAAATTTACCTTTTCCATTTTAATTTCACTTTCTCTTTGACATAGTAGATACTGGATAAATTTTTTAAATGGATGAATCAATGAAGGATAAGTGGGAAAATGATAGTTCATATAATTAATTTTGATATAATCCATACCTGCTTTTACAACTTCACTAGGCTATGAGCCACTTGAGAATAGGCACTAAACATTTTTCCTTTGGGGTATAACATAGAGGTTGGCATGCTAAATACTAATAAATATGGAATGAATAAACATTAGAAAGATTGCTTTTATGCTTTTGGAGGCAGGGGCTTGGTTATATTTGGCTTCTAGCTGTAAAGAAAA